AGCAGGTCACCTGGTCCTCAGCCTCTCTGTGTTCCCTGCTGGCTGCTCTCAGGACAGCCCCCATTCTTTGGGTGTGTCTTTGGCCCATTGAGAACCATTGTCCCACAGGTAATTAGCATGTCCACAGGCTCCACAGGCTCGGCCCTGCCCAATGCTTAACCACATGCAGGGAAATCTTCAGTTTCCACACAGATTACAGATCTACACACACAGACATTATATACTCACATAACCAGTGTACACAGGATCAGAAAACAACAAGCTCCCATTCAATACCAATCTCTGGGGCCAACACCCCCACCTAGGGGTGCAGCAGCGATCTGGCTGCTTCCCTCCAATTCGGTAATGTGACACTTGATTAAAAAGAGCTCTCAGTCTTTTTCGTTTTGTCCCCCCCTCTCCCTGCTGTAAAATCTCTGGGGGTGAGGGGACCTCTGGTGTAGGCATGGTTTGACTTCTACTTTGGGGGGAAGCCGAGACCGGCAGAGGTTCAGGGAGGGAGTGTCACCTGCAACCCTTGATTTGCTTCAGCAGGCCACCTACCTGTCGGAGTTTGGGGGAGGGGGGGGGAGGTGCAACCACAAGTTATAAATCAAGGGTGGGGGATGCAGCTTAAAGTTTGAAAATAGCTCAGGGTGGGGGGGTAGCAAGGGGCTGTGTGTGGGCAGGGGGTAGCTAGGGGCTGGGTGCAGGCAGGGGTTAGCTCAGGGTGTTTGCTGGGGGTAGGCAATCATTTTTTATAGGGGGCCACTCCAAAATTGTGTTAAGTGGCTGAGGGCTGCATTCTTCTATGCTAATGGAGGAGGTGCGGGGTCTGGGTGGAGGTCAGATGCAGAAGGGGCTCTGGGTATTGGGGTGCAGGAGGAGGTGTGGGGTCTGGGATGGGGGTTGGAGGAAGGAGGGGGTTATGACCTGGGGCAGGAGTGCAGGTGGAGGGTTAGGAGTTTGGTTTGTGACCTGGGGCAGGGAGTCGGGGGGGGAGACGGGAAGGAAAAGGGGTTGGCATGCCAGGGGCAGGCTGGGACCAAAAGGCATTTACTGTAGTAGGCAGCTCCCAGCCAGCAGCCCAGCGGGACCCTCAGGCGGGCTCGCTGCCTGTCACGCCCCCTTGCCACTCAAAGCATCTGGCTGCTGAGGCCATGTGCATCTCTGCACCATGTGTTCCTGGGGGAGGGGTAGCTCCCATCCCATTGGCTGGCTTCTGGCCAATGGATGCTGCGAGGATAGTGCTGGGGTCAGGAGCAGCATATAAAGTCCCCCCTCTCCCCCAAAGTGGCATGTGGCCCCAGCAGCTGCTCTGCGTTCCCAGACGCTGGCTTCCCACATCAGACACGGCTGGAGAAGGGGCTGGGGAGCAGAGGAGGAGCTGTCCCAGGACTGCTCAGCTGCAGGTCTTTTTGGGAGAAGGCAACTTCCCCCATACCCCTGCCTCTGCCCATGGGCTCAGGGCTCCTGCCCCATGTAAGGTGCCAGGGTCCAGGCTCTGGGTTTCAGCCGCAGAGCCCCGGTTGTGACCTGCTGCACTAGGGAACACTGCCAAGAGTAGGTACAACAGTATGTCACGGACAGAGACTCCTCCCTCCCCCACAATGCTAAAAATACTACCCCCCCCCCCCCCCCCGTAAACAGAGCGCTCTGAAAACCAAAGGCCTTGCATGGAATTGGGAATGTTTCCTCTTCCAGAGCCCTTGTCTCAGCCAGAACTCAGGAGCGACTCCTCCCTGGTGGGCTCCACCACCGAGCTGGTCTGTGCCGTGTCGAGAGGGCGCGTGGATGCCTACCAGTGGAAGAAGGACGGCGGGAGTCTCCCCGAGGACGGTCGCTTCCAGTTGAGTCAGAACGGCAGCACGTTGCGTATCCAGGACACGACCGCGTCGGACGGCGGGGGGGACACCCGCACGGGCAGCAACCCGGTCAGCT